AGCTCTTCATGTAGCTTCGAAGTGCTTTCGTCGATCTGACTCACAGCCTGCGACGTTGCAGCTCTGTGACATTGCAATTTGGCAAGGCCAGGACACGCTGCATAACCTGGAGGGCTCTATTGATAGGCAGCTCTTTATGGACCTTTGCAGCCCTAAACCATACTAGGCAGGAAAACGCTCCAGTTATAACCAGGTCATAGCCTATGTCCCCCTTTACGTACTAAAACAGGTCACATTAATGTTTCGCAATTTTCCTACTGGCCCCTTTCTGGGGAGACACTGCACGACTTGCTCTCGATGACACCCCAAAATTCTTGCAATATAAACCCAACCTCCACGTCATTGTCCATTTTCTTTTCCGTTTGATTCTCCACTATTGGGTAACGCTGCATACCCTATACCCCCATATGAGCTGAGCTATAGGCTACAGTCTAAAACGTCTAGTCCTCAATAACCCCTATGGCAGTACCCTAGAGAACCCCCTATAAGGAGTTTAGACTACAGCTTGGGTCATCCCCCCTTACAGAAACTGTTACCACAATGGGTTTTTGGAGTTTTCAGAACCCCCCTAATAAGGCCCCTTTAAGGACAGTTACTGGGAGGGGAATGACCCAAACCACAGCTCATACAGCCGCTGCAGTTGGGAAAACCAAACCCTAAGGGTCCAAAGACCCAAAAAATGGAGCTCTAGGGCCCAAATACTACAATATCAATGGTATTTGGGCCCTAAATCCCTCTTATTTGGGTCCTTGGAATCTTAGGGAAATCCATCTCGCCTCGGCGCTGGCCGACCGCGGCTCGGCCTCCAATCCCAGGAATAATGGGATACGGGCATTTGGGGGAAGCCCAAAATTAGGGGTACCATTTTTTGGGGGTCCCTATAATAAGGGTTAAAGTATTTTGTTTTGTTTTTTTTATTGGGGTCCCCTTATTTAGGGAAACTACCATTTAGGGTTTTAGCCTTTAGGGTTTTAGGGCTTTGGGGTTTAGGATTTGGGGTTTTAGGGGTTCCACGGGGATTATATATGGCTGATGTAGGGATATCCAGCGATTATAAAGGGGTACATGGGGATTATATACGGACTATATGTAAGGTTTTCGTAGGGTTTAGAGATATCGATTATATACAATTATTTAGGAAGTTTGTCGGGATATTACACCAAGAATGTCGAGTTTAATTCTAGATGGAATAGAACATGGAAAGGAAACTGTGGTTTTATGGCGGAGGGAATTAATCTTCTGGGTTAGGGCCTCCACAAACCAGGAGTCGATGTTTTAATGGAAGCCCCTAACAGAAGGATTCTAGTATAGTTACTGGAGCCTGTATTGGAGGCAGTCATGTATATATATATATATATGTGCGAAATATCCCGACACAAGGGCAAACGTTCTCAGGGACCTTCAAGATTATAGTGACTATTGCGGGATGAGAGGACTCCCTGAAGAACTGCGCCGGAGCAGGGATCTGAGGGCTCTTGCTTGCGGATCCAACTTTGGCACACCATGTGTACCATTGTCTAAACTCCTAGTACCCCCCTGAATGACCCCTTTAGTAGTCCCCTATAAAACCCCCTATAAAACCCCCTTTAAAGGAGTTTAGACTATAGCTCATGTCATTACCTAATTGTCTCAGCCTTGACAGATTTGGGTGTTCCATCACAGTTGAAGGTCTGGGGGTTCAGAGTTTGAGGATGCCTGGGCCTCAAACTGAGCACAGAAAGTAATGTAACAACTGGCCCGAGAGAACATGCTAAACGGACAGTGCCTGGTCAGGCAGAGAAGTGAGAACAGGGAAGATGCCCAGGAGGCGAGATAATCTGAAGCGCAGCTGCGCATCACTCGAGGCCCTGCACCGTGCAACCTATACGATTTTCTCAATCGGACCACTGAATTTGGGGTCACGTTTGGCTGAGAGCTCGGCCATGTGCCATGCACAGCTGTTTGGCCAGGCAAATCAAATGCTGCCTGACAAGAAGTGCCATGATCATCTTTAAGTATATGTATGACCAGGCTACACTGGATGCCAAAATCTCTGGCAGTCAGCGGCCTCGCACCGGAAGATCTACAAGGGCGATCCCAGCAAGCCCCTCCATCAGTGTCCTTGAGCCCAACACATGGACACCTTTGCATGTCCAGATTGAGAAGCAGACCTACTTTTGAGTTACTTTTTGGATAGCTGACGCCTGCGCTACATGGCCACAAAGTGTGTCTCTGCTTTGGGCATTAGCTGTCCAGCTAATACTCAGCTCAACCCCAGGGGACTTGCTGCATCCATCAGATTCTGTACTGCGCACAGGTGCATGGCACAGCTGCAAAAACAGCAACAGGACCGGATTGCCTTCCTGCCTTCCATGGCACACAAATCATTGCTCAAACATTTTTGCCGTTCAAGTCAGGCGCAAGATGCCATGTTTGATCCAACAGGTGAAATGACACCTCACTTCGAGCTACTTTGTAGGTTCCAGACGTACCCCTCTGCTGTGCGAATTGCACGAATCAACATGACTTAGCCGGTGTGGAACGATACTGCTATGACTGTGACTGTGAGGCTGTTGCTTTGCAAATCACCGGGGGGGCCTGCAGAATCACGAGCCTCTTCAAATAGAGGCTCACATTTCCGAGGCAAAGCCTGAGGGGACCTATCTACGTAAACAATGTCGTGAAACCCCTGCAGGTGTACGCGTTTGCAGTCCGTTGACATCTGCTTCAGCTACCATTGCCGAAGGCCTGCTGCTCAAAGGCTTAGACTGCAAACATTAACCTGGGACGTGAGGGCAATAAACTTTGTGCCGGCAGCGCAGCATTGCCAGCAAGGACAGAGAGCCAAGTCAGCCCGGCAAATCTGAAGCGGCCCCAATCAGGGAACGCTGCCTTGAGCTTTATTGTAATATACCAGACATGTCAACATCTTTAGCTTGGTCTCATGTCTGTAAAGGTGAAAGGCACGATGCCCGTGAGCTTCTGTCTCAGCACGCGGGACATGGCAGGTGCTTCCATTCCAGCACCGAAAGAGTTGAGGGCAAATGGGCGGCATTGCAAGGCGTGGTGCTTGCACTGCCAAACAAAAGGCTCGGATGAGGAACAAGCTCTGCTGTTTCATCCAAAGAGCCTGGGCACACGACCCCGGGCTACAAGCTCCCCATTGCGAAAAAGTACGCGTTGAGTCCCTGCAAGTGTGTGCGAAGGCCTGCCATTGGAGCGAGGCCTTCGCACACTTGCTATGGCAGCTTTATCTTGCACCTAGAATTCTGAAAGCCGAAGCGTCTAGATTCTGGATGTGCGTTCAAGCAAGCCAGCTGTTAGTCATTGGTGCCAACGGACCATTTGGGGGCCGAAAAGTTTTACTTTCTGGGAGCTGTAAGGTGTATCTTTGCACCCGACAGGCCAACAGGTGTGGCCATGCACGTGCACTGGAGTTTTTGAGACCTGGCCCAGCAGAGACATGGAGGTCTCCCAACACTAGGTGTAGTTTTTTGGGGGGCCCCCATACCAAAGATTATAGTATCTGTGGGACTATATGGGGTCCCCCTGTTATGGGAAACTACCACAGGTACACATCAAAAACATGCATCATGAGAACAGAAGTTCTGCTTGCTTCATGCGCCGGCTCGTTCAGACCAAACTAGTTCACAAGAGCAAGTTGCAACCAAGGTTATCATGTAGATCAGATTGAATCCAGGTTTGGAGTCCAGTCCGCTGGCCTTGTTGATCTTCCACATTCTCCTGGCCTGAGCCATTTACCTCACAGCTTTTGGACTCAAGTGGGCTCCACAACCGACCCCCTTTTCCAGGACTTGAGGTGATGCGCCAAGGCACAAAGCAAAGTCGGCGAGTTTTTTGATCATCTGGATCCAAAGGACCTAATGCATGAAAGCGTCTTCACATCGTGACAGTTGTGGGATGCTTAGCAAAGCTCCGGTTGAGGTTGTGCCAATGTGCCTTTATTGGTATACCACGGCTCAGCAGCAGTATCACTTGCTACGCTGAGCATGATCAAGGTGTCAGTGAGCGCGCAATTAGTTTGCCAAGTACGGCCATTTCTCCACGCACACTGATGCGCCAGCACCATCTCTAAGTTGCGCAAGAACAGCCTCGCCGTACAATCGACGCCTGCGCGGGTCGAATACTTGACCGTGGGACTGCGAGGCAACAATACATCCAATAAACGTGGTTGATCCAAAGCTGCGAACACTTGTGATCATACTAGCCCGAACAAGTCTCCGGATAATTCCTGCGTAGAAGCAAAGACCTGGAATGATGCACTGCGGGGATAAGGTTCTGTACATTTGGGGTGGGGTCATGTCAGGTAAGGTCGTCGTAATTTGCCCAGGGCTTCTGCATGGCCAGCATAACAGGCAAATACTGGTTCTTAAGGGATCCCCAGAGCTACATAATCATAGTCCCTCTTAAGTAGATAGAATATTATGGCTTTGGGTATAGCATAATAATAAGATCCCCATATACCCCATATTCCATCTACTTAAGGAGGATTCTAGTCCTCAGAAAAAAACTTCATGTGGTACCAAGGCCTAAAGCTGTAACCTATGCGGCATGGGCACTTCACAGCCGACAGCTGGCTGAGGTCTTCCACGGTTGCAGGCGATTTCAGACCGGAGAGCCCGGCGATTTCCTCCTAAGATGCGGGCAGCTTTGCTTGAATTCCTGGAGCTATAGGAAAACGATTTGGAGAGAGTTATCGTTATCGAGAATGGGATTCCCCGTGATGTCAGGGTCAGAGAAGGAAGCTCATTCTATTTAATTAGGGGCAGAGAAACTCTGAGAGATGGGCTGCGTGAGTGTTCTAGGCTGCCCGCATTATCCGCGCTTTTTCAATAATTGCATTTCAGATGGCTATGCTGGTTTAGGATAACAAGTTCTCCATAGTGCATCTTGGAGGGGAAACAGTGTGATGTTGATTGAGGGCACTTGTAAATGCAGGCTTCGCTTTCTGAGATTTTGCACACAGCCTTGCCCACATCTCTTTGCGACATCTAGACGGATCAAGGCCATATAGCCAAGGAGAAGAGGCATGGCATGGCATGGCATGGCATGGCAAATGACTCTTGCCGGGCGTCGTCGGTAAGCACAAACTGCCCAGGCACACCAGCGTCCCTCAGTCCCAAAACAAGATACTAATTAGCCACCTCTGAAACTCTTTAGTGCTGAAAAACGATTGCTGTTGCCTCCGCTGAACAAAGATGCATCACATGAGGTGCTGAAGTGCAACCAGGTGCTTTCCCAGGGATACCCGCAAGCGCCGCAGACTCTGCCTCACAGCAGCACTTGCCCTGTCAGAACCAGCACGAAGAGCTGCAGCAACTTTTGCGGCAGAGCAGGCCGCGCTGGCGTCCTGGACGAAAGCGTGCAAGAACCCAGATCTGGGAATTCAACAAAATACAAACAACAGCTAACTAAGACAGCCAAATACATTTTCTGATGAATTCTTCCGTTCAGCCACCACGGCGCTGAAGAGCAGGTCTGGCGGGCAGCTCAGTTCTTCCGCTTCAGGTGACACCTGTGCCTTGCCCTCCAACACTCGATCGGCACTGGGCGTTGCGACGAGGTAGGCGTTGGTCGCCTCAGATCCCAGTATGTCCCAGCGGCCCAGATTGAAGTGAGATTGCAATCCACCAGACCACTTTACTGCCCTAGCCGCAACCTCTACCACTACTTGTTCGTCCAAGCCGCATAAGGGGAGTGTCGGAACTCCTCGCGTAAATAACCTGCTCCCAGAAGCGAGGTGGCCACATACATGGCCGCCTCCGAGGCCGCCTCCCCACGCCACTTGCAGCTCTTCTGAACCTTCAAACTTCTCCCACCGTTTAGATGCAACTTGTGCTGGGCATGCGATACCACGTGCTTCGCATGGGGAGGGCGGGCAGTCAACAAAATGATGATGGGTGGTCAGTTCTGCTCAGCCAGCACTGTTAAATGCCAATCCGACTTTCTCGCCCACCTTGTCCGACAGCTTCGTCAAGGTGAGTTGTTCCTCCTGGCCTGCGAATTGCTTTACCCACGGTGTTAAACAAAAAGCTGTTGTTCGTCAGGCTGAATTACAGGGGCCTCCGGAGTGGGAAGGTCAAGGAGCCTTTTCTTTGTTGGCATCTGCTACATTCCGAGTCATGGCGCTCTGGCCCCTAACCCTCGGCGAGACCCATTGAAGTAATCCATGCAAGAACCTTCAAATCCCTGAGACCTCGAGCCGCCGCCGCAGCTCTCAGCGCGCTCACCAAGGCCTCCGGAGGTGTGGAGGGCCTGTAGCAGCTGGGCCCGACCGAAGGTCTCAGAAGTATCATGGAGTTTCCGGCAGCAAGTGCTGCTGCTTACGAAGCAATGTCAACATTACAAGCGCCAAGCCACGTGAGTCGAGGCTTTTTTTGAGGAGGAAAGGCATCGCTTCCCTTTGCCTCAAGGGCTGCTTTTCTGAGGCCCAGCAAAGTTCCGGGTCTAGACAAACATGGTGCATTCGTTCGGCGATCAAAGGCTCATTCTTGCTACATCCAATTATAGTACCTAAGCCTTAAGCCCCTCCTGGGCGAGGTGAAATTCAAAGCACGTGGAAGCATGACATGAGGGCTGGGCCCAACAAATGTCGCAGCCACGGTCGCAGAGTGGCAGCTCCTGGGGCCGTGTCATGGGGCTGTCTTTGCGCAGCGCACTGGAGCAAGCCAGCCAAAGGATCTTGACTGAGGGGTCTCTTGCAGCAGCGTCATCCCAAGCTCTTCAGGGCCTCTACTGTATCCTGTATACTATGGCCGTCCTCACCGAAGTGGCGGGAGATCCGTGCGCGCCTGCATTCGCGGCCCTGACCTTGCTCCAACAAGCGTTCCTCGCTCTTAGAACCATGGAAGTAGCAGCCTAGTGGAAGTCACATTCCTGGCGCAGGTATTGTATCCAAGGCTCAGTACATGGCGGCCCCGTACAGCTCACGCAAGGATGCTGGCTTGTAGTAATTCCTTGAGAAGGCAGCTGCCAGTTCTGCCTCTACCCGACCCCCTTCGAGATGGCAGCAGGGCTCTCACGTTTAACCTATGCTTGATTTCAGACCTTCCAGGCGAGGCGCATGACGCTATGCCGGGGCACGTCGCTGGGCCGGTACAACAACAAGCAAAGGGCTGGCTTGCCGTCCCTCCCAGCGCGGCCAGCTTCCTGGTAGTAGTGGTGCAGGGAGGCCGGCAAGCCCGCGTGGACGACGAAGCGCACATCGCTCTTGTTGATGCCCATGCCGAAGGCCACAGTGGCCACCACCACATCGATGCGGCCCTCCACCCAAGAGGAGTGGACCTTCTGACGTGCTGCCGCGTCCAGGTCCCCGTGGTAGAACTCGCAGGGCACGCCACCAGCCGCCAAACCCTGCCGTAGGACCTCCGCCTCCTTGCGCGTGATGCAGTAGACCAAGCCGGGAGTTCCTACATCAGCAACATGCTTGATGTTGCATGGCAATGGGCATCTTCGGGACCGTATCTGTAGCCTTGGCGCCTCGTGGAAACAGGAGGATCGTAGACAGAACGGCGGCCAAAACATCCGCGGCAGCCTTTGGGCGGTGACCTGTTCAGGATTTTGCATGACAATCTCAAAAGCAAACCCCCACACCTTTGCAGCCAAACGGCGCACGGCATAGAACAGGTTGGGCCGATCCGTTGGTGCTCGAAGCTCCACAGCACCGGACATGCCCAAGCCTGGGGAGTGTCGCAGTGCGTGTTCGCCTTTTTGGCACACTTCAAGCCCAGTAGCACCGCTGGACATCGCTAGCAACCGTGTGCGTTGCCTTGGTCTGCCAGCACAGCTCACAACCTCGAAGATTGTCTACCCTTGAAGTCAGGCCGAATTGCAGTTGCCGTCAGCGCCAATATCGGAGTCTGGGGAAACTGGACACGCAAAGCAGCCAGGCGCTCGTAATCCTGCGGAGGGCATGCAGGGGCGAAAATGCTGACTGCTGACTCTCACTGCTGTCGCTGCTTCACGGATGCACAGTCATTCGAATGCCCAAATATCCATGGGGAGACGCAAAGTGGAGCTGGTCAGAGTGCCTTGTGCACTGAGGTCAAGCCTGACTTCAGCCATGAGAGACACCCTTCTTCAGGGATCCTTGGGGCCGACAAAAGACCCAATGCATGGCAAAGCCTTGCTAAGCGCGCATTATGCAGCCCAAACCCTTCGTCCTGCCGGAAATCGTGGCCCCATTGCGAGATGCAGTGCGCCTTCTGTGAGATTGGGCTCAATTTGCTCCCTGCTTTAAAGTCTTTGACTGAAATGGGCTTTCGCAGGGGTCTGGTAGAGGAGTTGGGCAAGTTAAGCATATTATGCAGTCACTGCTTTCACTGGTGAACTTGCTGACCACAGAGTGCTTGCATGCAACTGAAACTGCTGCTGCTGCGGATTTAGGGGTCATGCTTCGCTGTCCTTGGATTGGCTGCAAGAGCTTTCACATGCAACAATCTCAATCAAACCCTTCTAGGCAAAATTCTCGCTGGCAGAATTGCTTTGCAGATTATGTCTGATGAATGACCTACAGCCCCGGGTGGGCCTGAGCTTTCAAGAAGGTTCAGTCAGTTGTAAGCACAAGGGTTTTGGGTGGCAGGCCTCATCGATTGCCAGAAGGCCCAATCGCTCTGCGGCGTAAATCTTCTCTAGGAGATTCATGACCTCAATTGAGATGGAATTGACTTTTGCTATGAGCTCTCTACATTCACGGGATTCCTAAGGGAAATTCTAGGCCTCCTTGAACAAGAGCCACCCCGAGACCTAAGTCCAAGAGCTATCCAAAAGGCTTTCGCGCCCGCGGTCCAACCAGGCAGTACTCTGCATGGCATGCGAAGTAGGACAGAGCTGCGCTGTAGTGACCATGGAGAGGGATCTAAATACACCCCTAAGCAGCCATCGAACAATAAGTGAAGCAGGCCAAGGAGCAAGCTTGCTCTTGGCCAGGCGCTCTGGCGTCAGATAGAGGATTCGCAGGCCATCTGCAAAGACATATATGGGTTAAAGTATGTCGAACTCAACTTTGCAAATTGTCTGGACAGGCCATCCCCCCCATTGCCAGGAAAGCACTGCGAGGTAGGTTAACTTGACTCAACTTCTCAATTGTGTAGCCGATGCCCATCTTTCTTCGAGCGGCGCCTCCACCCTTCACGGTCAACGCTTTCATGTCGCCACGGATCTTTGTCTGCTCCTGGGTCCGGGAAGCTACTGCCAGCATGTCCTCATCAAGCTTGCATATCCTGAACCTGCAGCATTCAACATGCCCGGGCCTCACGTGAGTCGCTGCTGCTGAGCATGGCGGCCTTGATGCCCAATGCCTGGAGCGCCATGACCTGATCCTGCGCCGACAAAGGGGTATCAGCGTGTGGGAATGGTGTTCAATGGCCTAAAGGGGAGAGCGCATGAAACGTGCTGCCAAGCATCCCCCAATTTCACGGGCACACACGAGAAATCAGCTGTGCCGGACTCTTGTAGTCTGTCCTGCATGAGCGACAGCAGGGGGCTAACAACCTTGGCACAAGTGATGCAGGCACTTTGGACACGAGCGGCGTTGCCAAAGACTCCACGTCATGAGAATACAACGCCTTCCAACGGAAGACTACTTACGCGGGAAAAAAGTTGATTCGAGAGAACATTCGAGAACCCAGGGCCCCAGCAACCGTGAGGCTGCCACGCAGAAGCGAGGGTGCCTGCACGGCTGGGGGTTGGAAAGCTCGGCTGGTTCGACCGTACTCCACAGCGATTACGATTGAACATTGCAAGCGCAACATCTAATATCGCCAGAGAGTCTGTCTAGACTCCGAGACCTTTCTAGGCTAAGAATTTTAAGGGCCGTCATTGATTGCTGGGACCCTTCGCAGGCTCTGTGCACTTCCATGCATACAACGTCACACAAAAGTTGGACCAGGGCTCCTGAAAGCACAAAGACTTGCCAGCCCCAGTTGGCGCGACCAAAAACACATCCCGGCCCGTCAGCACGGCGTTCAGGGCCTCCTTTCATGATGATACAGATTTCCCGTGGCACTGAATACTTGCACCGATTTTCCTCACAAATGAGAAACGGCAAAAAAGCCGGGGCAACTCGACAAAGCTTACCATGACCGTAGGAATCTTGCAAATCCCACAAGAAACAATGGTTGAAGTTCTCTTCTGCCTGGCCGAGGTGTTAGGCAAAATCAGGGTCCTACACAGGAAAATTCTCCGATTAATGGTTGAATTTTGCACGACGGGCCCAGCACTAGAATACACTCTTTGTTGGATTATAGGCCTTGGAGTGCGCATTCTACACGATCTCTAACCTTCTTCGCTTAGCTAGAATCACGCAGGCATGATCTTGTTTCAAGAATTAAGGCAACTCACATGAGCAAAAGCTCCGCTTCAAGACCCACACGCCAAAACTTATCCGCTCCTCCTGATTCCTGCGGAAGGTGGTCACCCCGAACGTCTCCTCACACAACTTCCGGAGCCTCGAGAAGCATGTGGAAAGTTGACAGGCCTGACATGGCCTGACTATGCACTGAGCTGGAACAACCTAAGCCCAACCCAACGTCTGCCACGAAGCCATACATGCACTCTCATTTTCAGCTGTGAGTCCCAAGCCCAACATGCCATAGGATCTGGGTCGCTGCAGCACAGAAAGTAGAGTGTGCAAACTGTTTGTGGTCTTCGAGCTTGCGTCTTCAGACCCGACGCATCCCGACGCATGTTCCCCTCATACACCACGTGCGAAAGGCTTTCATCCTTGAGGACCGTGCAATCGACCGCGCACCCCCAACCCCCCCCCCCACACACACAACACACACAACAGGACTGCAGAAATAAAGCAAAAATAGTGTAACAACCAAGAGCGCTTGGAGATAGTCTTTCTGCTGCTGGGGGACTTCTCAGTCCAGGGCTGTTGCTTCACCCAATCTTCCAGCGGCACTTCTTGGCGCAGCTGCAGCTCCTCCACTTGTGCAGCAGGCCCCTCACAAGACTTTTGTCAGCATCTCACAGCTATACTGCGAACAATATTCTTGGCGCAGGTATTGCGGGCATATAGCATTACTTGAGGTTGATTTTCTGGGGTTCCTATGTCGCTTGTTGGGGGGTGATGTCTGTAAAGCGGGATGAATTCTCACCCTTCGACCTGAAAAACGCCTTAGAAAACCACAACCAATAAGTTTGGTACGTAGCCCGCTTTGAAAGTACATTCATGGCATTAGGAGAGCAATCCGAGAAAATGTGTCGCTTCCTCTCATTGCTTCTCAGGACTGCCCAGTGACTAATCCCGAACCTAAAGCTATAGCCTGCCGATTCTCATGCATGATCAGAACATGTAGGCTGCCAACACATGGTGCAAAACACACGGCCGGAGTCGAGTTCTTCAGGTTCCTAGATCATTTTGGGCGGTCCTCCAGCTCTGCCTCGAGGCTCTTCTGTCGCTCCCGTGCCGCCTCGTCAGTGTCTTCATGCTGCAACCGTGGCCCTGCAGTTGAAGCAGAAAACCTGATAAACAAAGGGGGGTCCCACAGAATTGCCAGCTGTTTAGAAAAAAAAACGTGAATGCTAAGTGGACCTGTTTTCCGGTTAGAAGTCTGGGCTCGACGCTGAATCTGCTTCTCATTGTCCACAGCGCGTCAGAAAGCGTTGCATTGAAAGACGCTCCTAGTCCTGAGTCTTGAGTAATTATCAGACTTGTAGAGGGATCGTTTCACAACCATGTTCAAGGCCCTGTGCTGCAAGGCGAGCTAGGTGTGTCTACATTCAGCTACATTCATGTTTCCCGTGGATAAAGCTGGCCATTGGCTTTGCTGATCCCGTGCATGTCTAGTATAGGGCTCCTTTAGCCTGGGAGGCTGCTGTCAGCCAACTGCGCGAATGCTGGTGTATAAATGGTACAGTATCAAACAAAGGAAATGCCAAGCTGAGATGGGGCTGCATAATGGTGACCGCAAGCCTGCAGATCGCGACGAGCCGCTGCGAGTAGCGCAGTGCAACGCTCTACATCCGCCTGCAGCTTATTCCATGGCAGCTCGCGGTGCCTAAAACTGGGACTACATGGTTGCAGCGCTTGCTTCCAGGAGTTGGTGCGTAGTCCCCCTTAAGTAGCTTTGGGAATATCATAATAATAAGAAGATCCCTATATACCCCATATTATATCTACTTAAGGGGGACTATAGGTCTCTGTGTTAATTCCGGATGACATCGAGGCTTCATGGGCTTTCACAGCCGCGCTGCTGTATAGTGTTGAGCACGGTGTGGTGCTGGCAGCCCGCTTCCAAACTTCCCAGGTGTGCCCCAATCCTTCAGAATTGTAAAGCCTTTTCCAAGATGGAGCTAGAAGACGTGGATTCTCATGCGCGCAAAGCCTCGGAGAACCTAATCAGTGACAAAACGGGGGAGCAGGCCATAATGCCACCTTGCAATATGCAAAGCCCATTACGCTTGGACGATTGTCTGTTCATGTTGTCTAGGCACCCGGGACTTCCAAACATGAATAGTGGCAAAGCCCAGAACACCTTCAGTAGGAGGGGAGGGTGGCACTGAAGATGACGGATGAAAATGGATTATGTTTCCCAGCGACGGCCTGCGCTCGGCTCAGCTGTTCACCTGGCGGCCAGGTTCTTTAGCACTCAGCAGGGGGCTACCCAGACAAAGGAGCTTCACTCTCAGGCTCTCGGCAAGGCAAAAGGCATGTTCCTGCAAGCGCTGGAACTTCTCACGGCTGCTCGAGTTTGCAGCTGTTCTTTTGGAAGGCAACGTAGACAAAAAGGCTGAAGGGAGTAGCAATGAAACTCAAAATCAATCACTCGATATATGACAGGGGTTCCGGCACAGGGCTGAATTCTCCAGGGATCAGGCAACAAGCTTGCCTGAGGCTCATATGAGAAGCCTCCCCATGCGGTCCTTACACCTATGGTTAGCGTTATAGCAAGGACAGTCTTGCCAGTAACATCACTTTTTGCAGCCGCGTGGCGCAGCTGCTTTTCCTTGCCGGCTTGGCTGCAGGACATGGCCAGAATGCACCCAGCAGGGTGCTGTTGCAGCTCTAACGCAATTGAACATGCTGTTGTTCTCAAGGCTGCCTGCTGGCTCTTTCTGGAACTTCTTACTATCATCCCTCATACTATCAGTACTGCTTGTGCTGACCTAGCAGGGTGCTGAGAGCGGAGGGATGGGCTTGGAGTGTGGGTGGGAGTTGCAAGGATTTGGCGATTTCTGGTCACAAGCCACAGGCTCACAGCCTAAACAGCTTTTGGACAAACACCACGGTGCTTTCAACCATGGGGTTCTGATGGGCACTAGGCTGGCTTGGCCGAATCCACCTAAACAGCGCGGAAAGGGGGAAGGCATGCAAAAACCCAACCCTGGCCCACAAAGCTCAGTCTCGCACAGGCTCAGCGACGAGCCCTGCCAATAGAACCACCTGCTCCGCAGCAGTGGGTTGCTTGCTGCGCAGATCCCAGAACGACTATAAGAGCGATGGGCCCTATCTTCATCGCAACAACGGAAACCGAACAGCAAACCTAACTTTACAGGTAAGCTGGCGGTGACAATTCCTCTCAATTACAATCAGGCAGAGCTTACTTTACTGTAGAAGCTAAAAACAATGCTGAATTTGGGGTTCCAGATATTCTGTACGGCGGCCTCGGATCTTTGCCGTGCGCGGCGCAATGGTGTCCTGGGAGCGTAGCGGTGTAGGCCAAGATTGCAGCGTTTTGGTGTATGGTGGACTTACGAATGGGAGTTTATGTGCGCGTGCCACAAGTTATTCTCTGAGGGTCCTATTGTTCTTGGGGCTACCTGAAGAAGGAGATGTCGCTTCATGTTGTACTTCACCCGAATCAGGCAAGCCTAAGGCTGCTTCTCAAGATCAAGGGGTATTGCCTTTGGGTGATTGTTTTCTCCTTGTGAAACTAAATCTCAGCTATTCGCGGCAAGTTTTGGTCCCTAGCATGATCTACATAATGGAAACTAGTTGAAGTCGTAGTGCCATAGTAGGCTTTCTCAGCCCGATGGGTGAGAGCACCCCAAAAAAATATTCCAGCAACCCTCCACTCAAAAACACCGAACAACAAAGCATGTACCTAAAGCCTGGATTATACTTGCAGTTCCTGAAGCCAAGGCTCGTAGTCCAGTGGGCCAGGGGACTTTATGGAGAAGCCATCTCTCATCACCTCAGTAGTTTGAGAACTTCTCCAATGCCAGGGAACTTGCCCAGAGGCCAGCTAAAAGCCAAGTTGCTTTTCTGTAGGTCGTGTTTTCGTTGGCACTCACGGGGTGGAGGTAGTCCCTCAACTCCTCGAAGTTAATCTTGCCATCGCCGTCACGATCGCAGGAGTCGAAGATCTGCTTCGCTTCCGCGGCTGAGATCCCCGGATCTGCTTTGCAAAGAAGACTGTAGACCTCGTCCACGCCCAAGGCGCCATCCTGGGGATGAACTATGCCCAACCAAACCGAATTCTAGCAGGCATTATTTTTTGGCATTTTCTCTTCAAACAGCAACCTCGAACCTGAGACCACCGAATCAATGGTGTGTTATGTGTATTCCTCAAATCCCAGCCCGATGATCCTTGTTCGTGTCGCAGCTTGCAAACTGCCTCTTTTCGTAGGAGAGGTCCGGCAATGACATTCGTCCCGGAACACCAAAGTAGTTCCCTCCCTTCACCTGCCGATGATTGGCAAATTTCACTTCTAGATGGATGCTACCTGAAGTGAATTCGATACAGACTTTGTCATGATAAATCACACGTGCATCATCCAATAAATGCAGACCCTTCAGCTCGACTGCATCTCTCAACTGTCTGTTGAGATCTACGTCCAGCAGCCTTGTGCTTGACGTGCGTGCAGTAGGTGGCGGGACCTGGTGATGGCTCCAAATTGCCCTCATAGCCTCAGCAGCCCAGACGCAAGAACATGTGCGCTCTGGTGCACAGGCTTGCCTTAATTGCTGGCTCCGTGAAATTTGTGGGAGTGACACTTCATTATTGCGGTACCATCTGCTCTAAGATGCTCTGTCTTTAACAGGCTGACCAGAAGGCTTCTCCACCAGAGAGCAGTCCTGTTCAGAGCGAGAGGCGAAAATCAAAAGGCGCGCGGAAACACATGACGGGGTTATAAACAGTTTTCAAGTGATGCGCCGAAGGAGGGCGTGACAAAGTTAGTGACAACGATGAAGGTGAGCGCAAATCTTGCAAGGCTCTGCCAAGGATGCCTTTTTCAGGGCCGGGTGGCACAGGGCCCGCCTAGCAGCGCCGATCGTGGCTCGTGGGCCCTGCTTCTGATGGGCAAGAACCTAAGGCTGCACATGCTGCCCACATCATAAGTACGTGCAATGGAGTAATTGCGTAATCATCAAAAAATGTCTCTACATATGTCCTGATCTTGTTCCTCCAGGCTGGGATACACATCCATGCCCAAATGCCATCAACAGAGCAGTTCGCAAACTCTCTCTCTCTCTCTCCAACTGCAAGCAGGAAATGAGCTGGATGCCGTGCCGTGGAACCTTGTGCTAGATGCTATCCAAGCTGCTGAGAAGTTTTTTTCGTACCTGGCTTGGGTCATGGCATGCGGCCATGCGGAAAGGACACGCACAATGATCAGAGCTCAAGAGCTGCCTTTGCGAATCCAATGATGAAACACTCGAAACCCAAACAGCTTCAACCTGCAACACTATTGCACGGCCATCATGGCCTCCTCACCTCAACCCAGCCATCCGAAACCGAAATCTCAAGCGTTAAATTAGGGATCAGCCGGGTAGCGACGCAGGGCCAGGCGACTCGGATCTCGAGTCCATGCCCTTCGGGGCACTGCCAAAAGTTGCCGAATACGCGTTCCTTACCATCAGAAATCATGGAGAGGAAGAAGCTTCTCTGAACGCTTACAAGTCAGGCTTACCGAGAGAAGCTGAAGCTGCAGCCAAAGGGCTTGTGGAAGGCGCTAGCGGTGTGATTCCCCGAATAGGCGGCAGGGCCGGGAGAGAGGCTGTTCACGCCGTGGTCGGTCAGTCTCCTTTGTTCCAGGAACCGAACAATCACAACGAGTTTCCTGCGACAAGCTGTGAACTGTGATCATACTGGAAGCCTCACACATTCCCACTTAAATCTGTTGGGCTTGCCTGACGGTTGAGTCTTCACAGGCACTCACCCGGTTCATCATCACGGGAGGGGACCCCAACTTGAGGTCCCCATCACTGTCCCTTTGCAATGTGAGTGCCGATTTGGAGGTTATCGACAGCTAGTAGTATCGTGATTTATGGACGCCTGGCGCCGCCTCTTCATCCGTACATTCTTACATCCCTCTTCGATGCAAAACAGGCCGAGGCAGCAATTGAAGTCATGCATGCTATGTAGGTAGACAACTGTGATGCGATAAGGACCGCGCACTCAAGCCTGAAACGACTCCCTAGCCAAGGCGCCTTTGAGTTGGAATCACTGCTCGCGGGAAGTTGCGCTTTCCAGCCAGGGCCTCGTCTGGTAATTTGTCACGCTAGGGTTGTTGCCAGGTGTAGCTTGCCAACTCTTGCCAACATGGGGCTTCTCATGGAGGCCCCGTCCCTTTTTGCAGTGGCTTCTGCTATTCTTTAGGAAGGTCACGATGACTGCGTGCTCCGCGCCATGATTCTGGTCATTGCAACTGTGATTTGGCCCGCTCCTTGTCGTTGCCCACGTAGTCCGCCGGGCCAGGGCAGGAAAGGTTGAAGGCTGTGCGCAGCTTCTTTCCTTTGGGCGTGACTGTCTCTTGCCCTATATAACTGGCCAAGGAGTGTCATTTCTTATTGCAGGCTTCGCTGACTCGTGCCAGGGTCATTCCTGAATGCATTGGCTGGGCCCGAGATCTACTGTATGGCACTATTAGGGATTGGCCAGGCTTCGCCAGGTGGAGTGCTCAAAGGTCGAGCCAGGCGGATGCAAGTACCTGGTGTGGCTCGAGTGCAGGCGCGCGAAGCATCGCACAGGGCTGATGTCAAACTAAGTTCAGTTCAAGTGACGCAGCGCGTCCACAGTTACTCAGTTACTCGCACAATCGGCAACAACTCCTACGTGTGGAGCACTCCGAGAGCTCGTTGAACCCCACGTTTCCATCCTGCAAGATTCTGCAAGCCGGATCCCACACAAACTCGCCGAGATTTGTGCAAGCATCTGATGTCGGAACCGGGTAGTGGTTAGCATCTGAGCTTTTGCGATCTCGAACCCAGTAATCCCAAATCCCATTTGCGTAATTAGTTACGATGTTGTTCTAAATTCTAGTAGCG